ATTGTTAGCACTCAATGATTTGTAGACATGAAAATAACTCAGAGGTATTTGCTTAAGCCTAAAATTTTCCATACAGTGTGATATGGTGAACACACAAACGTCCTTAAGATGTGAGTTGAATATTTACAGGTCACTTACGACGGAAACCAAGAGAAAATTTGTGCCTAGGTACGAGAAAATGAAGACGTAAATGCCATATGTTCAGTGCACGAGCATCAGGCGACTAAAGTTTCTCACTACGAGAAGAACGATGAAAAGTACACTTACTATTCCACCGCATGCAGTAGTCTGAAAGAACCATCTCCCCTCCCCTCGCTCCATTTTAAACAGATCAACAAAATGCCAAAAGCGCAAAAATGCTTAGAACAACATGCATACAACGATACCATTGGAATGGCCAAAACATTTTTGCGAATACCCAAGTTACCGATGAAGATGGGGGCGAAGAAACTTTACAACAATGAATCATCGGAAATCGAAATTCTTGATCACCGTGTCTCCTCTACGACTGTTTAATTTATTTTATCATATCAATGCCATGTTTCCAATCTAGATCTATATCAATACCATCCTAAATCATAATACAAAACTGACCGTATTGAGCCAAACCTGAAGTTAAAAAGTAACTTGCTGCTCCTTATGCAAATGAACTTCAATTCATCATAGAAAAACACCTGACATGAACTAAACCAAAACGAATATGTGCTGCTCCTAAAACGAGTGAATAATAAGGCTCGTTCTGAACAGAGACCAAAAAAAACGAAACCTTAACTAAGAATTTTCCTCATATCATTATGCAAATAAAATGGCAGCCGGTAGCTAATAATTGCAATGTCTAGAAGTTGCCAAGACACCGAACTAGTTTTGCCTGAGATCCGACGTTATTTACGCCCTTCTGTTCGAACTGTCCGCAACGGCGGTTTGTGTAGACATGGCTGCACGATAGAGAAGAGGAGAAGTTACCAGGCGATGACAAACCAACACCAACGTCGTGACCGAATGACGGAAAAATGGACAAAAATTATCGTTGCTGGAGATAGATTTTACTGTCGTATTTTTAGCATCAAGCTTACAATACGGTTTTTCAGTCAGGTCAGAGGGCTGGGTCATTCAGTCATTATACGATATGTGTTTTGCTATTTGACGATTTCCGGGCATCTTGCCATGCCGTACTGTAAATCCCGTTTTAAAATTGATAATTACCATACCCTTCCGCCACCAAGCCTCATCTAAATAGCCCAAAGAAAACTGAAGAGAATAAGTACGTTTTTATTGACGTGTATCAAGAAGTAGTGACTGTCTTAAATCACCCCCTAGCAAATGCGAACAAAGAGCGGGATGTGCAAAAAGCCTAGAAATCTGGTTTCGGAGGTATTAGGCATTTGAATAAGTGTACTTAAC